CTGTAGCCTGTGGTGCACTGGTTAGATCTGCTGGCCTACTTCGGATTCTCTGAAAGCAAAAGCAAGTTCTGGACCTCAAGGCCTATATTGTGGCAGTTTTTAGTTTTGCAAAGAATCAGAGTAGTGAGAGATGTTGATGTTTTCTTCCTGCTCTACTAACTTGGTAAAACCTTTGCTTTTACATTGAAATTCCGCTTACCATTGCCTTGTTTCAGCTTAATTTCACACTAGGTTATTAGCTTTGTCATATGTTAACCTTAATAATAAAAAGAAAATAAATCGCTGATTAATTTACTCCAACCATAGTCATAGTACAACCAAAATTTATTGTAATGAAGATTTATTATACAAACATAAAAAGCATTTAATGGTTTGGTAAATGAAAATGATACATGTTTCTTTTTAAACTTTCTTAAAAGGAAAATTTGAAACTAGTGCATTCATTGTATGTACTCATCCCCCTTCATTCCCTTGACGTTGCTTTATAAAATCACATCTAGCTATATTGCCACAGTTTAGATGAAATCATTTTAATGTATTAGAATAGAATATAATTAAACTTTATTGTCAGTACACTGTCACAAGTACAAAGCAATGAAATGTAGTTTAGAGAGTATCTGTAAGAGGCTATAAAATAAACAAATATGGAAGCTATATACAGATAACAGGAAAGTTAGGATATGGATTTTATATATATATTAGCAGGGTCATAATACAGGATAAATGACTAAATTTTTTTATAAAAAGATACATTCTGAATAAGTTAGAAAGCATAAAGAATCTGTTTGAATAAATTTTGTTTAATGGACAAGATTGTAGAATTATAGCTTTGTGTTCCCGCTGCCAACAGCAAGCAGACTTAAAGGCCTCTATTATCCTGAAAAATAGCTTTGTCGGGTTCTCAAATTCCAGCTGTGGCCCTATGTCCTTTATTTAGTTTTTAATTTCTAAGAATTAGCACACAGTATTATAATGAGAAACTGGGTCAAACTGTGTGTGAGGGAATTTCAGAGAGACAGCAGGGGGGGTGCATTCTGCAATACATCTTTATCACAGACTCAATGGAGAGATGGATTAAAAAGCTTTATTCAAACTAGCATGATCAGGCATTACATTAAAAACCAATAAGCAACATCAAAATCGTTCAGTTAACAAGACATGGACATAAAGAAGGACCTTTCTCATTCGTACTCTTTGATTGGCTAAGCAGGATGAAACTGGTGGGAATTTGATATAACTGCTGAAGCTTATTGTACAGTATGAGTGGCAAAGTACCTGCAAGAAAAAAAAGACAATAAATTCACTTATAGTCTACACTGAGCACAAGTATCTCCTGTGCCACTCAATCACAGTGAATACAGAAGATATCAAAAAGTTATGTTGTATAAAAAACACAAAGTAGAAAGCAGTTTCATTTACAATTGATGAGTTTACTAGTTCATAACAGAACCTCCCTTCTGAGTCTTAAATTTCCTAGCATACAAGCAGCTCAAGATATTGTAATCTGGGGAAACTTATTTATTACACCACACACACCTAATAACAACAACAAAAGAAACAATGTTTTTTTTTTGTTTTTTTTTACCCATTCCCTGGGATTATTCTGTTGGGACAGAAGTTGGGTCCAACTGGCGAAACACTGGGTCACAATTGGTGACTGTTGATTGCAAAACAGATATAACCTCCTAATGGCCAGTTTTTAAATATACAAAAGCAAATCTGACTTCTCTGAACCCCTTCCACATCATTCAATAAGGAATAGTAAGATGCAAGAATAATTATACAGCTATGTTTAATCACTACATCTTGATTTACAAAGGAACGAAGAAGTTTAAAACCTTATTGTAAAGTTTATTAGCAATTCTGGCACAATAGTGTTACTTGTTTTAGTCCATTTTCATTTAGGAGTTTTACACTAAATACTGGGTTTTTGCTGTTGGGACAAAATATAGGTTGGGTTCCCTAAACACTGGGTCTAAAAATGCATCCATGTTGGCCAAGACAAGAGAATATATCAGGCTTACAATTTCAAAGCTGCAACCATATTGGAACCACAAATCCCAATGATTTTTTTCTAAAACTTTAAATAGGAAATGGTAACAAATTACACTGCATATTGAATGCTAAAGAAAACCTGGAACTTTTGTTAGTTCTAATTTATTTTAGCTATGTTAAACACAATTGACTCTGGGCAACAGAATTGGTCATAAACTGAAGCTAAGAGCATATATTTATTTCTGCTTTAAATGCTCCTGAAATTGTGTTTTTACATTACATTGTGTTTTGGTGGTGGTATTTGTACAAACAAAAAAGTTAATCAAAACTATTCTACAGAAAATAAAAGCCATTTGAAGATATTACATTGATGCAGTAAAGTAATTCCAGTGCTCGTGTTGTTTATGCTTCTGTTCCTTCAAAATAAGTTTGCTAATTTAGGATAGCATTAGCATCTTCCCTATTATGAAGCTGGAACAAGTACATACTAACCATGCTTTTTCAGTTTTTGACCAAAGAACTGTTTAAGAAGTCAATGTAGGCATGTTAAAAAGCTAAATTCATACGAATTTGAAGTTTTCTTGCAATTTTTGTGGATCCATTTGACTGCTTTAAGATTTGAATTTTCAGAAGAGATATGAACAATTTAAGAAAAGAACAGCAATTTAAATAAAATTGTCATTTAACGGGGATTATGAATTTCGCTGTGCCAAAAAAGACATTGATTTGGTATATTTAATATATATATTATACATTTTCTATGAATACTTAAATCAAACATTGGCATAACTTAATTTAAGCCCAGATTTTACTGCCCAGCTAGATGATTCTTATATTAGGTCGAACCCAAAACTACATACTATATTGGTTTGAATCAAAACAAACTTGAACTGGCCCATAGTTTATGCAGAACTTGATTAGCAAAATAACCCTTATATATGTTCATAAACATATTTTTTCCTTAACACTGTAATCCTTTGAGTGAGAACAAAGTACTATTGTTTCAGTTGTCAACAGTCTTTTACCAGGCAGAAGGCACGCATGGAGCTAATCATATGTGCAACCCGGTAAGTACATCATCACTGGTGAAATCAATCAGTTCTGTCACTGACTGCACATCTAACATGCACTTGACCACAAGATCCCTGGTTATTCATCTTGTTCAGTCTGACACACAGCCAGTGAGACGCTCTAAAAGGTGAGCAGCTTGAAAGAGAAGAAAAAGGGGGGTTACATTTCACTGACTCAGAGCGTGAAGCCGGATATATCCAGAAATACTCCCCTTTCACTGCATTACCGCAGAAGTGCTGCATGGGATTACATTTAGATTCTGTGCATATCCAAATTCAAACTGCTGTCATCTGCTTTATACTTTTTTTTTTTTTTGCACTGTCAGCAGTCAGTACAGGAATACGGTCGCTATAATTAACACAATGTTCTCTTTCCTCTGCTAATCCAGCCTTCCTAAACTCACACCAGTATATTTGATTTAGCAGCCTAATTAGCACACGTAATAAGCTTCATGTAAGAGAGAAATTAAAGTCCTGAACTTAACAGTGGTGTAACAGCACTGCCTTTGAGGTCAAAAATGTTTTTTCTACCCTTTTTTATTAATGTACACAATTAAAACAACTGCACTGCACTCTAAATAAGCAAAATAAATTATTCTTTAAGAAGCTCACAAAAGCAGCAATAAATGTACATAAAATATATGTATAAAAAACATGAATATTTTCAAAGAACATATTGCCTCCACATCAAACCATTCACACCGGCCAAATTTGTACATTTCTTGTTCTTCTCCTGTATTAAACATAACTTTGATTATTTATATTCTATTTTAAATCTTGACCTTATATAACCCTTTTTCCACTATTTGTATAAATATCAATATATGCTTTTACTTTAATGGGTGGTTTTGGGGGAAAACCAAAATTGAACGTTCATTGATCTTTTATAGAAAATATTTGATTTACAGCCAAGTTGGTTTTGTAAAATGTTTCACCGATTGTGTATGATGTATTTATGAGATGCACTCATCTGACTTAACAATGGCAGACAATACACCTGCTCTCACATCAACATGGAGAGATTGGCTAATTGTATGCAATCTATGTAAATGTCTGTTTTTCTCAGAAACTTTGATTTTGCATCAACATATAACGACTGTTAAAAGTTTACATGCAATCCATTAAAAAAATTATTTTCATATACATTTTTGGCTTACAGTGATACGTTTGTCTAGTTATTTTTTTGTCAAATGGGTATGATGTCATAAAAGCAATTAATATAATAAATCCTAATAATAGAGCATATTGGAATTCTGCTTATCCCAACATAACCAGCTCAAAAATATACATAGACCACCACTAATATTCAGAGAGTGTGAATGCCCCATTACAAGTTGCACAACAATAGTTTTATTTTTATGGTTTAGAACTCAGTAACTATCAGATTTAGGACAGGGATTTGATCACACCTTACAGGAAGTCTTTGACGTCACCTTCCAACCCCAAATATTGACCATTCAAATCGATTAAAATGAAAAAACTTTGATTAGAATGTTAGAAAAACCCCAAAATGAAGGTTTAAACCTGTTGCTAGTGCTCCAAAATTTTCATCCTCAAGCACTGGAATTAGCAGCTACCCGCATGGATAGAACAACGTTTGTGGTGGGAGATTAATACGTTACGCTTCAATGATATAAAGAGTACCTGGATTGAAGATAAGCTTTTCAACTTTTACATGAATAGAACAACTTGGTAGCACCATACCAAGGGGTCTGTTTCACACAAGGAAGAGATTTAGAAAAACATTTGCGCCCCTCCAAAGTGTTCAACTGCACCTTAGAATAATAGCTTCATTACTGAAATTTGGACAGAACTTGGCCTTACAGTAAGACGATCCAAACACATTAAAATGAATAGCCTACACTTAAATCTTGTTGGATTTTTTCTTATAATGTACTTAAAAGTTAGGACCCATTCAAGAAAATCCCATTTAAAAAAAAAAGCTTTATATTTTCTTCCAGGATGACGGATTTTATCTTATAAAGCCCTTTGAATGGTGAGTGCTGCTTTTTAGATGTTCCTATGATCTTGTTAAAAACTGCAAAAAACTTTTTTTTTTCTCTGCACAGGGAAATTCATCAAAATATTAGTTGGAGTTTCTATTTATATTTGAGCCAAATACCTTGTATGGATAAGACAATATTCATTATAAAATCTCTCTCGTTTACCCAAGTGTTATGTTATCAATCAAAGCTGGAGATCAATCCTAGTTCAAATAAATGGATCTATCCCCAATTTAACATCTCATGATGATAAGAGGATGTACACTCCTCACAATGTATGCATTGCACCTGCTGTTGTTTAGCCTTTTACTTTCTCTAATCTCATAACGACTCCCATATAACCTATAACAACTACAATCAAATAAGAAGATAAATTTTTGCTTTTTCTTTTACTTTTTTCTTTCATTCTTTTTGTCATTTTTTAGACATTCAGAACACACAAAAAAAATCATTGTATAAAAAAATACCTAAAACTGAATCACTGGTTACTACTAGATAAAAGATTGAACCTTATAAAAGAGAAAAAAATCTCAATACAAAAAAAAAAAAGACAAAAAACACCAAGTTTCATGCCTGAATCAATGTTATGACCGGCTACAATAATGGATATATTGATGGAAGAAGTATATTCACCCTGATTTATGTCTATATTTATGATTAGGCGTGTTTCAAACTCCAGTTTAAAATAAAATTATAACTTAGGTTTATTTTGGGCTACTGATTGCTTCTAAAATCGTAGCGAACTGTAATCCCTGGATTAAAAAGGCAAATTTAAGAACTGTGGCATTTTTAGACATACTCCACGAAACCTCAATAGTAATAGTCCAGGCATCCTGTAGAAACTGTTTTGTCCAAACACTAGTTAGTGTATGACTTTATACCTCATAGCAAAACACTGGCAAAGAATATGGGGATTAACCATTGATGTTTGTGTGTTGGATTAGTGGGAATAGAGTAAATTAAGAACTGGAGCACAGAGACTAAGGGCAAAAAAAATCTTTTTATCTTCTTTCCAAGTCCCTGGGAAGTTTCGTCCTCCCGTGAAGAGATGGTTACATCACCGCAGGTCTCTTCTGGGCTCCTGCTGAGGGAAAGAGCATAAAATGTAATCTAGAAAAAAGTAAGTCTTGATATGAAATTTTAGAAAGTCCTTACTCATGCAACAGTGGATTGTGACTGGTTACTGCCACCATAAACATCATGTGATTGGACTTTTTGCAATTACAGATGACTTAAGTGATTAACTTCATTATTTTAATGACAATGTTTAGGTTTTAATCAGTTAGGTAATTTTTTATTTTTTTCTTACCAATGAGAATTTTTCATGTAGGACACAGAGAAAGTTATTCATGCACGCACAAACAGGCATAACAAGATTTAATTCTGGAATCCAGATTTAAAGCTAGGGTTTGGCACTATACCATTTACCAATATACTCCAAAATAGATACCTTACCCTCTGAATAAGTATGGTTACATTTAGGGCTGCAAATAACAATTATTTTGCAAATTGATTGATCTGTTGATTATCTTTTTGATTAATCGAATAATAATTGGATTGCAAAAGGTTCCTTAAAGAAGACTTTTTACGACATTAAAGCAGGTGAATCTAAAACTTTTCCACCTGAGGAGTTCTGAATAGAGCATATTGACATGTGAAAAAGTTTTTTTTTAATCTTAAATGCAAAATTTTGACATATTTTTTTACATTCTTTATATTTTTACTGCGCTAAGTCTGTTGCTCTGTCAGCTAAAGGCATGTTCCAGAGTCTCTATTCTCCAGTTAACAATTAATCAATTACTAAATTAGTTGATGATTATTTCAACAATCTGTTAATTACGATTCATTTTGATTAACTGTTTCAGCCCTAGTTACATTTGAGGTTATTGCTTTCTGATGCCTACTGTTGGGGAGGAAAATTGCACATGTGCTCCGCACTTTCTTACTGACTAACTAATAACTAACTACTGACTAACTAATAAAGTTTTACCTATAGAAGTAACCTAAATATTGCTTAATCTAAACAAACTTTTACAGCATAGTAAAGGCCAACTTAGTCACAAATAAACTACAATAATATTATTATTGTTTTTGTTTTTTAAGAATGCAGCTAAAACCTCTATACCATACTACTATCATTTATATTTTTCTAGAGTAAGATATCCCATATTGCCTACTAATATGTTTTATCATTAACACCCAATCTTTAAACAGTTTTAGATATGGCTAATATGCTTTGCTCTTAGGTTTCATTTATATATAAAAAAAGCACATTGCATTTATAGCTATTTATCACTTTAATTTGAACCCCAGGAAGAAGACCAATTTGCTATGATACATAAGGAATCCCCACAAAAAGCATAAATGAATTAAAATATCTATCAAATAGTTTAATACCCTGATATATATGGACAGATTGGTTTATCATCATAAACAATTCATCATACCTTTATGCAATTAACTTTTTATTCATATTTCAGATCAATTATATCCCATATGACAAAGCAGATGAAGTATATTACTATAGCACTTTTAATCTTATTAAATAAGGAACACATGTTTAAATAATAACAAGCTTCATACAGTTGTATGACATCATAAGACTTTCTTGTCAGATTAAAATATAACTTACCAAAATACATTTTGAGGAATAATCATGTTATTGAAATATGTATAGTGTCAAACCCTTTTACAATCAAATTCCTTTTGTCATTCTGAAAAGCGTGCCTATGTTGCATTTCTTTCTCCTCAAATTTGAAACATAGTATAACAGATGTTGTTTGAACCTAAAGATGACTTTCTTTTCCTGACAACTTGTTGAAACAATTCACTCCTTAATTGTTTTTTGTTTCTTTAGTGCCAGCAGCACAGAGAAATGCGGACAGCACAAATCTGACCAGCGGCCAATTTTAGTCTAATCTTGGTCCTTAACATAAGCTGGTGTTCTCACTTGATAGACAAGCCAATTCCCATCTCACGTTAGAATCAGATTGGAGCAGATTGTTGAATTTATGAGGGTAGATTTTGATCAAGCTTAAGCAGTAACATTGGATTCTGTTCTATTTAATCGGGGAAATATGTCGACCAAAAGAGATTACATAAAAGATTTGCACTGGAAATTGTGGCAGTTTATTTATTTATATCCCCATGAAGACTGTAAATCAAATAGAAAAGGACAGTAAATGTCTATAAAGCAACAGTGGCTCTACAGATTGTAGTTAGCAACCAGCATACCTCCAGTTGTAGAATGGACTTCCTTTCATTTTGAGTACTTAAGAACAGAAAGAAGAAACAAGTTCAGTAGAAGGTTTAGCATGCAAATGCAAAATACAGATACATCATAAACAACTGTACACCCCCCCCCCCCCATGTGCGCCTGTGCATGCATATTTATATTGTTGAATATTTCTGTGCATCACTTGGCTTAGTTTGCTTTATAGGACCAGCTGTAGGAAAAATAAACAACATCTGGATCATTCTCAGCTCGAACAAGTCGTCTCTGCACCAGAGCGCTGCTTGAGAATTATAACCAATCTCATTTAATGCAGCACTATTTTCTATCCTAGAAGAGAACCCCCTCCACTTCTGGGTTTCTTTGTAGTGCTCCCCCTCACACGCCTACAACCCATGCTGCGATTGTGTGTTGTGAATCTGCAATACATGACCTACATACCACATAAGACATCAAACGCTTGCAGATTTTGGAGGTTGAGGGGGTGGAAGTCTTGGCCTAATTAAGACTAAAAATGCAGATAGTTTGATCTAATGATGAACAGTTAATCAAAATCAGCAAGCCTCCGTTACCTTAACTGTATTTCATACATTTATTCATGTGTAAGGGTGGAGCAAGCTTTAACTTTACTTGCTATACTGTAGATGGAAACCTTTGTATGGAGAGCAGATTCATTTAATTTTAAATACATAAAGAAATACATGCTGTTGTTTTTAAACTGTTAATTAAAATTCAATCGAACAAATAAATAAGTCATCATGAAATTAAACAAAAAATTTTTTAAAAAGAAACTTTAAGCTTATCTTATCATTTACTTTCTTTAAGCTGTACTCATGAATTTATCTAACTCAAGATTATTTTTTGTATTTATTTTATATCTGTTTTAAGGTTTATTTATTTATGTCTTTATTTGAAGATTTACTTATTTGGTAATTGATGAATATATTTTATCTAGGGCTGCAACTGACAATTATTTTCCAAATCGATTAATTAGTTTATTATTTTTTCGATTATTCGTTTAATAAAGAAGAATCCTTGGATAAATGATATTGTCAGACTAAAAAGTTTGTCATTATCTTAAATGCAAAATGTGAAATTATTTATTTTCTATACAATTTTGATGTAATTAGGGCAGAGTCTCTATATACCAGTTAATGATTAATCAATTGAGAAATTAGTTGCCGATTATTTCAATAATCATTTTATCACAATTAATCAGATTAATGTTTCAGCCCCAATTTTATAATTTATTTTGTTGGGTTTTTTATATTAACTTTCATTTTCATGTTTTGATAATTTAATGAAGGGGTAAAGTTTCCTCTGTGGGACGGCTCGGGTCAGCTTTGAGAAAGTAGGAATGAGAATATTGCCCAGTTCTAAGCAACTGGAGCTTCCTGCAGCACTTAAACGCCAACAAAACAACTTTTAAATGTTCTGAAGTTTTAGTACATCAGTTTGTTTGTTTCCAAAACTTTTATCAGACTGCTAGAACTATATAACTATGGTCAAAGCATAAGCTCATTAAACCTACTATGGCTTACTACACTGAAAAAAGTGACTGACTTTTTTCTCAGAATAGCTCATTAAACCTACTATGGCTTACTACACTGAAAAAAGTGACTGACTTTTTGGTACAGTATAGCTCATTAAACCTACTATGGCTTACTACACTGAAAAAAGTGACTGACTTTTTGG